GGTCTGGGTGTAGCAGGCAAGGCAAGACAGGGCCGGGGGAGGGGCAGGCCTGGGTCCTGAAAAGGGGAGGGCTCTGCCTCCAGCAAGCCGAGTGTGGAAGCTCCTTGGAACCTGCGATCAAGGTCTGTGGTATTTGCCCCAAAGCCAGTGTGCCAGAATCAGCACTTTGCTTGCGGCTTTGAAAGTTAACTACAGGTCACAAAATACAGCTTCACTCCCAGTGACATTTCACACAGTGTGTCACAGAGGCAGAATTTCAAACAAGACATGAGATCTTTCGATAACTGTATCCAGTACTGATTAGGTGCAGGAGACATTCCTAAAAGAAGATGCCCTTAAGGGTCTCAAAACCTGATGGAGGGTGGAGTATGGTTTGAAAAGTATAGAGGAAATGTCAGGTACAATTTCTGTTGTTTGAGAGGAGGGCTTAAAGAGAGCTTAAAACTCAGGTGTAGTTGAATGTTAAAATAGGTCATGAGGTGGAGTGAGTTGGGTTCTTCCAGAATAAAGGCCACGCATTTGCAGTCTGACTTCCTGCCATTACAGTCAAGCTTTTCTCTGAGTATAACTGAGTATCACCAGGCATACGCTTGGATGGATCAGAGATATATGCACTCCAGGCTTATCTAGTTTGTCATCTACTGCACACCCAATATAGAGTAGTTAATGGCCGTAGTTCTGGAGTCGGATCACAGCACCATTACTCACTCCATCACAGCTTGCTTTTTTTCCAAATGAACTCAGTTACCTCGTCAGTAAACTTTGGGGTAGTAATAATGCCTACTTCCAAAATGGTGAGATAATGAATGCATTATCAAGCCCTCAGGGCACTGTCAGGCTATAGTGAATGTTATCAGTGCATCCATTAACTCAGTGGACTCAGAACATGGGTTACCCGTATCAAAATGTTGTTGAATTGGAGTTTATGTAGTGGTGCCAACCTGTTTAACTAATGTACAACGTGATATATGGATTTTCCCAAGGAATTTCGTAAAGCAAGAATATGATCCTAGACTCTCTAGTATATAGCAACTGCCTTTTTTCCTGGGGCTGGTGAGTTTGTCTCCTTGTAGTTGGAGAATAGAGACCACATCACTATAAAATTAAGAGAATATGGAGGGCTTATTTTGATTACATTTGGGTTTGAATCTCAGCTATTTACAATTAGCGGTAAAAACAATAGAACAGAAGGCATTTTTTTCCTCATTTAAAAAATTGAGATATAATTCATAGGCCATAAAATTACCCCTCAAAGTATATGATTCAATGGTTTTTAGCATTTTCAGAGTTGTGCATCCATCACCACAATCTAACTTTAGAACATTTTATCCTCCTCCTAGAATACAGCCAGCCACTAGTGAGCAATCACTCCTCATTCCTTCCCCCAGCCCTTGGCAGCCACCGATCTGCTTTCTGTCTGGATATTTCATATAAATGTAGTCACACAATCTGTGGTTTTTTGTGTCTAGCTTTTTCCACTTAGCATAATGTCTTCAAAGTTCATCCATGTTGCAGAGATATGAGTTCTTCATTCCTTTTTGTAGCTGAATAATATCCATCACATGGCTATACATTATATTTATTCCCCTCTTGATGGGCATTTGTGTTGTTTGTATCTTTGGGCTATTATATAGCATATAATGCTATGAACTTTCATGTCCAACTTTTGTGGGGACTCATATTTTCAATTCTCTTGGGCATACACATAGAAACAGAATTGCTGGGTCTTATGGTAATTCTGTTTTAACCTTTTGAGCAACTGCCAAACTTTTCTGAAGCAACTGCACAATTTTAGATTCCCCCCCAGCAGTGTTAAGAGGGTTCCAATTGCTCTATGCTCTCACCATTACTTGTAATTTACTGTCTTTTTAATTATAGCCATCTCAGGGAGTATGAAGTAGTATTTCATTGTGGTTCTGATTGGCTTTTCCTTGAGAGCTAATAATAGTGAACAACTATTCATCTGCTTATTGGATTTGTGTATCTTCTTTACAGAAATGTCTATTCAAATACTTTGCCTATTTTTAAAAAATCTTTTATTGTTAAGTTGTAAGAGTTACTTTTGTTCTGGGTACTAGTCTCTTATCAGACATGATTTGCAAATATTTTCTGTCAACTGTGGGTTGTCTTTTTACTTTCTTGATAGTATCTTTTAAAGCACACATTTTAGTTTTGATAAAATCCAATTTGTTATTATTATTTTGCTTATGCTTTTGGTATTGTATCTAAGAATGCATTGCCTAATCCAATGTTACGGATTTACACCTTTGTTTTCTCCTCAGAGATTTATGAGATTTATAGTTTTAGCTGACCCACTTGTAGTTAATGTTTATATAGGATGTGAAGTAGTGGGCCAACTTCATTCTTTGCATGTGCATATCCAGTTGTCCCAACATAATTTGTTGAAAAAACTATTCTTATATAATCATATATTCTTAAATGTTTATACTGGTACTACACCGTCTCAATGACTGACCCTTTGAAGTAATTTTGAAACCAGAAAATCTGAATCCTCCACCTTTGTGCTTCTTTTTCAAATTTGTTTTGGCTATTCTGGGTCCCTTGAATTGCCATATGAATTTTAAGATCAGCTTGTCAGTTTCTGTAAAAAAAAAATGCAGTTGGAATTTAGATAGGGATTGCACTGAATCTGTACATCAATTTGGGGAATGTTAACAGCTTAAATCTTCCAACCCATGAGCATGAGATTTCTTTCATTTATTTAGGTCTTCTTTAATTTCTTTCAATTACATTTTATAGTTTACAATGTGTCCTTCTTAGGCACTTCTTTTGTTAGATTTATTCCTTTTTATCTTATTCTTTCTGTGCTGTTATAAATGAAATTCTTTACTTAACTTCATTTGCATATATTCAGTGCTAGTTTATAGAAATACAATTGATCTTTGTATATTGATCTTGTATCCTGCAACCTTGCTGAATTTTTTAGCCCTAATAGTTTGTGTGGATTCTTTAGGAATTTTTATGTACAAAATCATGTCATTTGCCTGCCCTTGTACTACTATTCACCATGTAACTTATTCACTATGTGAGAATTTGTTCTCCTTGTAAGAACTTGTTTGTTATGCTTCAGAAGATTGGAGACTGACGAAAATTAGGCTTGGGGTGGATTAATGATTATACATTGAGCATTGAGTCCCCTATACAGAATTTTATTGTTGTTAACAACCATTTGATCAATAAATAGGAGAGATGCCCTCAAAAAAAAAAAAAAAAAAGTACACACTTCCAATTGTAAAATAAATAAGTAACCGGGATGTAATGTATAGCATAAGGAATATAGTCAAAATATTGTAACAACTTGGTATGGTGATAGCTGGTACCTAGAATTATCATGTATATAAATGTTCAATCACTGTGTTGTACACCTGAAACTAATGTAATACTGTGTCAACTACCCTTCAATAAAAAATAATTATCTAAAAAAAAAAAAATCATGTTATTTGCATACAGAGGTAGTTTTACTTCTTTCCAATCTGGATGCCTTTTATTTCTTTTTGTGCCCTGGCAGATATTTTAAGGATTACCCAGGTTCTTCTTCTAGGGAGGAGGGAGAAAACTGGCAGCCACTGGGCATCAGGAATTTTATTTCTATGCTCTTCTCCAGTATCATAAGTTACTTTGTATCCTTTTGTCCATGGTTAAATCTTGATTAAAGAGCCTTGTTATACCTTCCCAAACCTTCCTCTTTATACCTTCCCAAACAGAATATGTCAAAAACATGAGTTCATTACTTTACCCACTAGAAGCTGTCATTTTACAACCCACCCTTGTAGGTGATTTCTCTCTCAATCTTGAATTCAACTGAACATGTTGATCAAGTTCTAAGGGCTGTCCCCTTTCTTTATCCTTCTTGGAATTTCTGCAGATAGGAATAAGAAAACCACCCCAGGGAAAAATAACTACAAAATACAGACTGCCTAGAGAGAGCATGAAAGAATGTTTAATCAGAGGGAGGACAGTCAGGCATAAAACAGAAGGAAATTAAAAGAAAGTAGCAGAGCTTCATGAGGATAAATTATTTAAATTGGATGCCAATTAATGGCAAACAATGCAAAGACTTGGAAGGAACAGTGCAATTATAGAATAACTGAAAAAACAGTCCAGCCTAAATATTTAAACAAAATAGAGGGGAAACAGTAGAAAGCCAGATACGAACTGACGAAGAAAATGCCATCATCAACTTCGGTTATTAATCTGGCAAGGCCTCAGTGAATACAGACTTGATTTGTATACTCAGAATGTCTTACTGAATCCAGCTTCTTGTCCAAGGTGAGGGCACCTTACATTAGTAAGTGAGGTTAGTTGGTTCTGGGAACTCTGAAAAGCCTAGGGATTGTCAAGATGCCTCCTGTAGGAAGATGGGAGTTTCTTCAGACTGTAAAAAGTCCACCTTCTTTTCCACAGGAGGGTTCTCAGATGGAGGGAACTCTAAAGCCATTTCCACCATATGATCATGAAGCCCTCTGTATCCTATGAATAAATAAACCTTCCCTGGGGCTGTTCTTCCTTTCTGCTGCTATCAGCATTTTCAGGGAGCCACTTGATTCCCAGGGGATACTAGGTTTTGGGGGAATGGCCTGCACTGCCCAGCCTGGGTGACACAGTAAGGAACTGCTTTCCAGAAGAGCGCCTGCCCTGCTGCTCTCTTCCTCTCAGCATCTCTGTCTTAGGCCCATGTGACCATGTGATACAACAGAGACCTGGCACTTCTGCAGGGTGAAGTTGCCAGCTGGTGTTAATATATTTGATCTGATGGCAGCAGACTCCTGGTTTCCAGCTGCCAAGGCTGAGTTTAACCTAAAGTTACCCTTTGGAGGGCGGGGCTGGTTACTGGGGTATGAGTCAACTATCTAGCTTTGGCTCCTTTTTTACTCTTAAAGGTACAGGAACAGGACGTAGATAGGATGGTGCCCCTATAAGAACAGATAGTCTAAGTCCCCAGAGACTTTGAATCCCAGCCAAAAAACTGCCAGACTTGGTGCCATCGGATTCACTTCACTTTTATTATGAACAAACACAATCTCAGATCAGTACAACTAGCTTCAGAGTTGATATTAATAGAAATTATTCCAAAATTATTCTTAGGTCACAAATAACTACTATCCCACATAAAAAGGGAAAAATCCCACCCAATCAAGGAAAAGGTATCCTGTATGTTTCCATGGCAATAAGTTTATGCATTCTTAAATTTGTCTGGCTAGTTATCCACCACTTATCCTAATGGAGTTATTCAATCTCTCAGACAGAACCATATAGATTAATGATGGCATCTGGGATACATGGTTCCTGGTGGACACAAGTTCATGGTGGATACAGCTGCTATAAAAATACTCAGACTTAGGAGAATTCCTCTGCTGAAGGATCCCAAATGCTTTATAAAAAGCATTAGTCACGCCTCAAAACTGCCCTTTGAGGTAGGTCAGTATTATTATCCCCATTTTAACAGAAGGAAAACTGAGGCACATTATAGTTAAGTGACTTGCCCAGGGTCACATAGCAAGTCAGTGGCACAGTGGTAGGAGAGGCCCTGGCCTTAACCACCCATGTAACACTGACATCTTGTTTTCTTTAACCTTCCACGTGGACCCATCTGAGCTACACTTACAGAGAATACACTCAGGATACTAGCAAACCAAGGAGAAAACTTTTCCATTTTAAATGCCACAACCATCTTTTAACCTAAAAAAAATTATAAATCAAATACATTCAAATTATTTCCACCCTCCATCAAATGTGGGCACTCAATAAAAACAGCCCTAAGAAAAGTTTCCAAAATGAAGCCCAGAAGGGAATCTCGCAAATAGCTATACTGATAGCTCTCCAGCCAGGCCCTCTTTCCTATCAGCCACTTTTGTAGGCTCTCAGGTGCAAAGGAACTCCACAGAGGGAGCGAGAAGGGAGTGAGAGCAGGCTCATATGCAACACTGATTAGAAAAGATGTAAGGCACCCAAATAAGTTGTCATCACACCCACAAAGCAAGGACTGTCAGAAATCCAGACTTATTGAATCTGAGTTTCTGGACCATTAATGAATGTGTCCTTTGAATTCAGCTTTTAGAATGTGTTCCTTACTCAGCCGACACCCTCCGCACCTACACATCCACATGTCCACTGGGGCCCTCAGCCTGAGGACCCTGTCCAGCCCTGTGTAGGGTCATGGTGTGGATCAGATCCATGGAACATGACTAAAACAGAAATATAAACTTGTTTCTGATCGTAAAGTATAAAGCAGGCATCTGATGACCTGTGGAATGAAAACTATTCAACAGACATTTCCAGGGGATAGGTACACAGGCCCGCAGATCTGAACGATAGAGATCTTCTGTTGTTAGGTCCTTTTCCACTGAGAGGAATAGCTCAAAGGACAAGGATGTCTTTAGTCCAGGCTCAACCCTATAGGCTCTATCTGTTCAATTAATACAGAGAGAAAGGCCCTCCTCCCTTCCATTCTGGGACTCAACAGTGGACAGAGCATCGGTATTGTACATTTCCAATCTTAAGAGAGTAAAACCAGGCTTTTGCATTGACGACTGAGGTACAGGGACAGGAGTGGTCCAAGGTTCTCAAAAAACTCATTTTTTTCCAGACCTCTTCTGTACTACTATCTGCCCTAGGCTGTGTTGCAGGGAATATTGTTCATGGCATCTCAGATCCCAAGTCTCTGCCAAAGCTCTGCATATCCCTGGCTTCAGGGAACCGGGCCTCCTTCTAAGTGAGGCACTTGGCAAGTTGCCTTTGCTTCTCATGCTGCCCAGTGAAAACTAGGCTCCCTCCTACTTCTATGGGCGTTGCACTATCAGCTGGGAGCACTGACCCGGGCCGGGCAGGCTTACTGAGTAAGCAAGGGGCATCCGGCATGCTCTCTGGTTCTGACCTAGACAGAGGAATCCAAAACAAACCCTTTTTTGCTCCATGGCTGGCTCACTGGCACACGAGCATTTGGCTTGGCTATGCCTTGTGAGAATGCCTCAGCTAAGGATGTTTCTAGTAGGATCTGCCAGTCTTGTCTTGAGTCATCAGTGTGGCAGAAGAGCACAGGGGTGTAGGTGAGAGGTTCTGGAGGCCAAGTGAAGGTGGCAGCTAGCTTAACTTTATAAAGAGAAACAGTGGTTCAGTGACCCTGAGCATTCTGTCTGTAGGAGAGGGAGCTGGCTGGACACCAGTAGCCATCTGAGTACACAAAGGAGGCTGCCTGTCCAGAGAAAGAAGCAAACAGCAGCGGGAGACAGAACCAGTAGGGGGAAATAGACAGATAGGGTAGGGCCAGGAATCAATAATAAGGGTGCCTAAGAGATTCCTACCTCGCACCCACTCTCCTTGCCCCGAAGGCAGTCCTCACTTCAGGCTAGATGTTAGTTAACACAGAAGGAATGGGTGAAAGTATTCAACACTGTGGGGAGAAGCCTTCTAGTTTTTACTCACTTCAAGGAGAAATTGGAGTTGATGAATGAAGCTAACATCTATCTTGTTTGTATAACCAGCTTCCGTACAAGGACACCCAATAACTTACTCAGTGACCTTCTGAGCCCTCTGGCAATGTGTTCTTGAGCCCTCCTTTTGTAAACTTATCTCTTAGGAGCTGCCTACAGACTCTGCCCCCCAACCTGTCCATCTCCTGTCCAGCAGTGAGAGGAAAGCAGACAACCTACCTAATTCCACCTCCTCTTCTAGCATCCCTCTTTTAGAAGGAAATACTCTCAGTCAGTTATTTTAATATTCCAAGCAAAGTATATATGCATATACGTTTTTATGTTGGGCCCAACTCTATCTCCTAAATGCTTTTTCCTTCAGAAGGCAACGAGGCACATCACTAAGCCCCCAACGCGTTCCTTTTGTGGTTGTTTGGAAATACTGCAGCCAGCTTTTGACTATGAGGGTTACTGATCAATACCACGAAGATGGCAGAGCAGAAAGAGGGAAGAGTTTTGATGATTCCATGAGCTGCTGGATTCACTGGTGGTGGAAACCACCAACCTCAAGACTTCTTGTTATGTGGAATAAGAAATTTTCCAATTATTAAGAAGAAACAACCCTTCCCCAGCAGAGACCACTTTCACTACAAACTAAACACTTCTTCTTTATCCCCGGCCTACACCATACTGGGACACTGAAATTTGCTTTTGTTTTCTGGCATTGCCAAGCTCCACGGCCATTCCTAGGTCAGAGTCAGGAGAGAGAGGAAGCATGTTGTGTGGCCGGGCTCCAAGTACCCACTTGGCAGGCAGCTGTGTGTCACTCACAGCAGGAACTTCTTGCCTTGCTTCCCACCTCACCCCATCCTCACTTACCCACCATACCATGCACGCTACCTCTCTCCCCTGACATTCACCTACTTTAGAAGCTTCATGCCAAATGAAGTTGTTTTTCCATTCCATCTAGCAAAAGCCTGGGCTTGAGATCATTAACGGGGGCCTTCCCAGACCATTTTGTCAGATCTCTAGCATGGAGCCACCCACCTTGAAGCTCAAGATGTCTCAAGGGAAGAGTTATCCAGAGCAAAGACCACTAGTTTTAGATTACAGAAAGCTTGTCTAAGCTTTGGAAGCTGGACACCCACCAAGGACCTGGGAGGCAATGAGGTGGAAGAGAAAGGAAGGTGACAGGAAGAAAGCGAAGGAGGACAATGGGACTGGAAGAGAGAGAAGGTAAGAGGAGAAAGAAGGATATCAGCTTAGCGTCATGAAGGCAGAGTTGTTGGCTTTCAGTCTTAAAAGAATACTGTACTGGAATGGGTTAACATCATCTTTAGCATCCTGGTAGCATTATTCAGTAGTTAATAAACAGAACATTAAACCTCTGCCCAGCTGGCTTTTGGAAAAGGAACCTGAGGGATCCCCAAATCAGCCACTCTTGTAGCTTCCATCTCCAGTTCTTTTAACCCTGGCCAAGATGGCAGTCTTGGACACTTTCTTGCGGTCATAAGCCAGACCGAGGAGAGCCATGCAATCGATGAAGAATGTGGTTAAGTTGACATGCCAGCGGTACTCACTGGTGGAGTAGTCATAGGGGAAGGAGTGGTGGTAGTTGTGGAAGCCCTCACCTGGAACAAAAGCAGGGAGAAAAGTTACAGAGCTGCACTGTGGCTGCTGTCTTCCTGATCTTAGCCTACCAGTTACCTAGCAGAGAACCTTGAACCCAGAACAACTTGCTGTTCATTCATGAATGAATGAATCCAAGTCTCTTCTGCTGTGAACCAGATAGACCCCTAAAAGCAATCTTAAGAAATGACTGGGAGACCTGGTCATCCATGGCTGTCTCAGAGCTTTAGTGGGAGGCAGTTTCTTTCAGAAGATAAAATGACTAGAAAGAAACTGCTCTCACTGGGAGCAGCTTTTAGATGGGAAAATTCCCAGAGCTTCATTATGTATTGGTCTGAGACCCTAACAGCTCTGTGTATACGTGCATGTTGTTAGGATGGGAGAGGAGAGAGCCTAGAATTAAGTACTTTTGCTGTTTTCCACAAAGGCGAGCAAAGGCATACAGCTCCCCCACTGCACTGGTACCACCCCTGAGGGTGGGAGGTGCCCTCAGAACTGGGCAGCAGCAACTGGAAGTCCAAAGAAAGGAAGCCCAGGCCCAGGGTCCTCAGCCACTGCCAGGTCCAAGGGGACTGCTCGGGCTTCTAAGTCTTCTGGACTCAGTCCCTAGTGTGGGAGTGATGCTGATAACACAGAAGCTCTTGGAGGGAATAAGAATCAAAATGTTTAGCTAGTCAGTCCCTCTAAGTGCTGAGATTCTGAGATGAGCATTTCACTTTGCTTGGGTGAGGAATACAAAGAAATTCTGGATTCAGGATTAATTTCTGTGACAGGTTGAGCTTTGGAAACTCCATAGACAGTGAGTTCTCTTATCCTTGGCAGGACTTCTTTTCTTTCTGAATCACGTTCAGTAATAACAATACTGACCCTTATGAGGCTGGGGTAAAGCTGAGTAAAGAATAGTTAAAAAAGAGCTTGTTGAGCACTTTAAAGATAAAAGAACCCCAAAATAGTAGTAATGATATTAGTAGCAAGCAAGTGAAGGAAGTCTTGCAAAGTAAATGACACCACCCAGGGCATCTCAAGGTATGTCCTGTCTGTGTGACAACTGATTGTCCACGGTGTGAACTGAGGAGAAGGGTGGGATGACCCCAAGGCTAAAGGTACTGACAGAGGATTACTAATTTCCATATATGGCTCTGCAGCAAGGCTCTGTGTGAACAGTGGCCAACACTATTGTCATGAGATTTAAAGACAAATCGGACATACACCTAGCCAAGAGAGGGGAAAAAAGAGGAAGGTCAATGGGTGGAAGAAGGACAAGATTTTGCAACTAGGGCAGTGAGAGACAGCTCAAGAAATGCTCAAGGGAGGTCAATTTTGGCAGAGGGAAGATGAGCATGTGACAGTGGGGGAGGTAATTCCAGAAGAAAAAGATTAGAATGTCAAGAAAGCAGCTACAGGAGGACAAAGGGTGAGGTGATAAGGGAGCAGTAGCAGGTATGGAGAAATGAATGACACCTGAGTCAAAGTAAGACATTGGCAGCCACTTTGAACTGATGGTTATGAAGAGTCTGAAACTGGGGAAGCTCACTACAGATCCATTTGCAATAAGGAATGTACCTCATTCCAGAAACTTCTGTTTCTATGAAAAAGACTTATCTAGCCTATGTAATTGAATGCAAACATTGTTCACAGGAAGAACATGCACAGTTGGAGAAGGTGTCTGAGAGGAGGGGGAGATGCATGAAAACTGAAAAGTGATAGGAAAAAATGCCTTTACTACAAAGAGTAAAGATGGTCAGGGTTGAGAATATAAAAAGAAATTTTTAAAGAGAACAAAGTGAATGTTAGGCCATGGTGTGCACAAATATGTGGAACAGTGAGGTTGCCCAAATATATGGAGTGACCAGTAGTACTGATCACTGGTGAGGAAGAAAAGGCCATGGGGTCTCTTTAAGGAAAACTAATTCCAGGCTTTAGCCAAGGTCTATATTTAGTTGATAAGAGTGACAGGGAGAAAATGGAGACAGATGGTAGAACTGTATTGTCTTAGACTCTGGCTATTGGTCCTGAAATGACAGAAATAAATTCATGAATAGTCAGCATTAGATCAGTGAGCAGGTACTTGTGATCAAACTCACTGCTTTATCGGGGGTTCCATGTTGGAGGGAGCAGAAATTTCTCGCACAAAATAGAAGCGGAAGAGAGGAAAATAAAGAACAAGAGGCAAGAGTGGTAGATGGCGCTGAAGGGCCACCAACCGCTGGTTCATACTGGCACCACAAGCAGTAAAGTGTGGGGTACCCTTCAGGTATAGTCTATCTGAATATAGCAAAGAGACACACGAGAAGTGTATTGAATTAAATTACAAGTATTTATTCTACATTTTATATAGCATGCTTACATATAAAACACTAGGCTTAGCAGTCACGCAGATGACCCTCTTCCTCTATTTACAAGTTCCCTGCCCCAAGCAAGACTAGAGTCTGGCTCAGAGGTGGCTGGAAAAAGGAAAACCCAAAGGGGCTCCTTATATAAGCATGTGGGGACTGTTTTAGAACCTGGAACCAAAGACACTGCTATTTTTTACCCTTTCCTTTTTATATACGATGTGTTGCCCAACCCTCAAGGGGTGTCTAATAATGTGCTGCCCTTTTGTCTGAGCAGAGAAAACAGATAGAAGGAGGTCATGAAACAGGTTAATCTGGTTTTCCTGGCTCCCAGCCTAATATCCTAATGAGCAGACCACTAGATGTGGTTTTACTGGGAACTGCCGACTTACCCACAGCTCCCAGAGACACCAGGATGTTCTCTCGGGGGTTAATGGTCCTGTCGTAAGGGCGATATCCATAGAGGTGGGCAGCACTGTTCACCAGCCAGGTGGCATTGAGCACAACAGCATATCGCAAGAAAGTCGCAATGTACAAGCTGTGTAGGAAAGTTTCACCCCAGACATACCAGGGCACCAGAGTGGGCAGGATGAAGCACATCAACAGGACGGCGGGTTTGTAGTACCTGCGTTGGTAGATCACAGGAGAGAGGCCCCTTAGACCTGCCTGACTTTCCCCAGTGGCCGGGTTGAGCTCTCTTTGCTCCTATGAATACAGTGTAGCAGGAAAGAGAGCAAGAGGGAATGGGGTGGGGAATCTTTGAGCATGTAGTGTCATTATCTCACTTTTTAGATGAGGTAAAGAGGGGTTGCATGACTTCTCTAGAATCACACCACTAGGAACTGGTGGGGCAAGAGTTGGAAAGCTTGTCTCCTGACTCTAAGCCATTCTTTTTCCTCTAGCATAGTGCCCTGTTAGTAACTAACAGGTGAGGCCTGCATTGCAAACTGATAAGCTGAGTTCTCCTTCGCAGGCTGTTTCTCCTTTCTGCCTTTGGGCTACTTTCTCTTTCCCAGCAGTGCTCTGTTGCAGTCTATGTTTAGCATCTTGTCTCCATTTCCTGCTCGCCATCCTTGAATCTTTCCTCTGCTTTTCCCTCAGAGGCACACTAGTGTCCCTGATGCCTGCAGGTCTCTGTCCCTCTGGGAGCCCTGTCCCAGTCTTCATTTTCTCATATGTAGACCAGGCTGCTGACATTCCAAGGAAGCTGACACCCAACATCTCTTCCGCAGCCAAGTCATACTCTTGTATTATTGCTATTTGCTGCATTCAAGTCCTTTGCGTTCCTGCCACTGCAAACCTAGCAGGGATCCCCATCACCTCCTAACTTGGTGGCCCTGCTCCTCACCTCTTTGGCTCAGTGGTTTCTTTCACGTACTAAGAGTGACCTTTCCAAAGGACGCCTTTGACCATGCCACATTCCTGCTTAAGAAACTTTTAATAATATCTCATTCGCTATGGAATTAAATCCTAAGTCTGTCCTTAAGACTTTACAAGAGTGGCACCAGCCTACTTTCTAGTCTTACTTCCTACCACACCCTATACATCAAGCGAAAGGACTGTTGCTAGAACATGCTTCGTGCTTTAGTGCATTCTGTTCTTTCTGTTTACTGTCCCTCCCCGCACACACCTGTGGAAATCTCTATCCATCAGTGGATTCCAAAGCTACATTCTTCACAAACCCTTCCCTGCTATTCTCCACTCTGCAGTCTCCCTGCCCTTTGTGCCTGTCCTTGGTACAGAAAACACTTTGCCACATACCATAGTCATTTGGGTATTTGGCTTATCTCTCCTCTCCCCAGTAGGCTACAAACTCCTTGAAGGAAAGCACTGACACATTCATCTTCCTATCTGTGACTGTTCTAGGTCAGGAAAGATTTATTGAATTTAATTGGCTTAACTAAGATAGAAAGAAAGAACAACAGTCTATGGCTGTGGGCCTGTGGGCAGGTAAAAAAACTGGGTTTTAAATTATGATCCTGAGATGCAAACTCAGTAAGTTTCTCAGAGTATGTATATAAGTTCTAGGAGTGAAAAGGGGACCCCAAACACCAGGTGCCCTGCTCCATCACCGCTTCACTTACCTCCTCTGGAACATCACTAGCTTCTCGGCCTTTAAGTCAGACAAGTCTAGCAAACCGCCCTTCTCTTTGACGGCTGGGTGTTTGCGCACAAGCAGCCAACCCACGTGAGAGAAGAAAAAGCCACGTCGAGAATTGTGGGGATCAGCATCTGTTTCTGAAAACTTGTGGTGAGCACGGTGATCTCGGGCCCATTCATAAACATCATTCTGGAGAGACAGAGAAGAGGAATGTAGGCCTGAGGAGAGACCCTCTGGGGGAATTCCAGTGGACAGGCATCTCTGAGATGTGCTCTCAGCCTAACCTCATAAAATACACAGGAGTCAGCCCTCCAAAGGAGTCAGAGCTGCCTCCTCTCTTCCCCCAACTTGCCACTGAAGCTTATATGGAAAAGCAACTTAAAGTCCCAGGACCACAAGAATAGGACTGGCTGCTTCTTGAAGGTTACATGGTAGGTAGAATGGAGGTAGATCATACAGAGCTCAGATAGTACATTAGGAGAGAACACAGCAATTTTTCAAGCAACAAATATTGGAAAAGGTCCTCACGCAGCAACTAATCCCTGGGTAGGGAGAACATTAGGCAGGCAGCTTTGCGTCCCTGGGTCACCGTTGGTGGATGGAGCTGCGGGGAGCTCCATTCTGAGGCCTTGTCAAGAGACAGCTCATACAACTCAGCAAGGCCAGGCCTGTCAGTCATGGTCTTGACCAATCACGATCTTTTCCAAATGACCTCAGGGCTCCTCTGGGACTCTTTCCATCCCTTCAAGAATGTGTCAGTATCCCTTCCTTCTTGTGGCCCCACAAGGGCAACATCAGGAGCCTTCAAGGTATAAAGTGTGATGGCAGAGAACTGTGCAGCTGTGGTAAGCACCTGGGATACTGCCATGAGGAAGGGAGCCAATTTGGTTTCCTTCTTTTCTCCTCTTGCTCCCACACCACATTCTCTCTCTTGTCCATGGCTAGTGCTTACCGACTGTGAGTTCACTTTCCCTAATTCCCATCTTCTCTGCTGTAAACTCGCTGCCTCAACAAACAATACTTCGCACCCTGGCAGCCCAAGATAGGATCATAATGTTGGTCTCCCCAACTTCCCAGGGATGCATCTTTTCATCTCTAAGATGTGGATAAGGACAGTACCTACCTCCTAAGACTTGTGAAGGTTTAATTAGGTAATCTATGTCAAAAGCTTAGACTAGTGCCAGGCACATAGCTGGTGCTTTCAAAGTGTTTCCTCTAATTACCTGAGAACCAGAGTTCATGAGTATTTATGTGGAGCCTCAACTTCAATCCCACAGCGGTGGAGTCCTAAGATACTCACTTAAAAGAGTGAATTTATTGTCTGATGCCTTCCCAGGAAAGCAGGGGCAGTGCCTGGCTTACGCACTGTGGCCCTTTATGAGGAGGGGCCACAACAACTAGACTGTGAGATAACAGAGGCCTTTAGGATCAAAAATAATCCTATACACTGAGAGTATGTCCTCTCGATCTCCTAGTTCCCTTTCCCAGGGCCTCGGAAGTACCCACATACTTCGTGGACTTGGGGTAGGCCTGCACTGAGGTGGCCGTAAAGAGAGGGGGAAGGGAGCCGCTGGTGGCGGTCCTCTCTGGAGGCTGGCTCCTCCCTTCTGCTCCTGGACCATGGACCGTGTGGAAGACAAAGAGCTGAGCCCAGCTGGCTTCTCACCTGGAAAGCCATCGTGTTGGCAATGATCAGGAAGAAGCGCAGGGGCAGCCGAGCTTTGTAACTGCGGTGACTCCACAGGCGATGTGCTCCCGCTGTGATGCCCAGGGCACTGACCAAATAGTAGGCAAACCCTGCCAGGAGAAGGGGGGAGTTGGAGTCAGGGCTCTGGGAAAGCACTCACATGATGTTCTCCGCCGAGTCCACGTGTTCACTAGGCTTGGGTTGAGGATCGCTTTACCCTGAACTCCATGAATGCCTTGATCTCTTGCGCCTCTTCCAGTTTGAAACATACCATCACTTCCCATCCTCTCAGCCTAGAACTGGAATAAGCTAAGGAGTCCCAGGAACTTCAGAAAGGCCCGACAGTGAGGGGAGCCCTCACCACTCAGCCACTTGTCATTCTCAGTCATGAGAGACACTATTCCAGGTCCTCTGACCTTCAGCTAACCTCTTCCAAGGTTGCAAGGACCAGAGACTAATCCTGCAGAGCTTAGGACCCATAAGAAGGGTAGTATTAAAATATTTAACAGCCAACACAGTCTGGGCACTGTAAAATTTGAGGGATATGGGGTTCTAGGAGCCACCTGGGGCTCAGAACTATGGCTAATTACCAACTGGTACAAAAGCATTCCAATATTTCAGCAGACAGGGAATTTCATGGGTTTTAGGGAAAAACCTGCCCTATACCTAAGTCCTGTCAGCACAATGTCTTAAGCTTTGCCAGAGATTTTATATTCTCTGATTTACTAGATACATGAATAGAGTTTAATATCCTCACTTTGCAGTTGAAGAAATAGATGCTCAGAGAGGTTAAGTGTTTACCTATGGTCACATGGATCATAAGAAATGGAGCCATAGTTTGAAATGCGGTTTTCTGCTAACAAGTGGTTCACGCGCCAGCTACACCATCTGCCTCCCCCAACAAGATGTGCACGCAGTTCCTGTGGCTCTCCTTTGCCACATCCTTCTGTCGGGCCATATTCCCTCTGGCAAGGCTAATTCTAGACAATGGTGGGATAAGTTCAAAGCTGTGTGTCAGCAGAGTCACCCCAACACTGTCCTGCCTCACCTTTCTGGAGGCCTGCAGGCTCAGGAGGTGCCAGAGAAAATCTCTAACCTGGCAGTGGGCTGCTGAGCAAACCCCTCTTCCTCTGCTCCAGCTCCGCAGCTCTGGGCAGGGCCTCTGACCTTGGTGGGGCAGTTACTGTTGACAATGTTTCACTCCGAGGGAAGCAGCTAGAAACAATGGGTCCTCAGTAGCCACAGAACTTACTTGCGGTTGGGGACACCACACACTGTAACAAACTGTCCTATGTTTTTTCCCAGCTACAGATACCAATTTCCCAAACATCACACACACACCCCCGACACCCTACCCCCACCCCATGTCCTCCACCCTATCCTTTCCCTTCTACAGGTGCCAGAGGGGGGCCAGGGAGTCAGAATCTGTCCCAAAGAAAAGTTCTACTCATAGTCTCTCTGAGCTGGAATTAGGGATCCAGATGACCTGCTGGCCTTGAGCCATGTGATGATACCTTCCCAACAGCAGTATCTGTCTGCATCTGTACTAGGAAAATGACAGTTGAGCCACATCCCACCAGTCACCAAGGAGGAAGAAAAATGGCTTTGGGCATGAAAACAGAACCACTCAGCTCAGAACCAAGGAAGCTACTGGGGCTGTTTCCTGCTACAGGTGACCCCGGCAACTTGACCAAGAAAACATTAAGGTCCTGGTAGTAACGGGAACTGGGAAAAGAACCCAGGTACTCTGGGGCCCTGTTCTATCAACACCTCTAAGCCTATCCATAGAAGGCCTTACATCAGCTGGAGATTCATTCCCTATTAATGTCTGATTGACAGTCAGGCAGCATCTCATAGCTTTGGCTCTAAGAAAGAGACTTGAGAGGTGTTGCCCCTCAGCCCTCAGGGTCGCCAGAGATCCCTCTTAAACATTTCTCTAAGGGCTCTCCTGAGAGGCTCCCAGATTGCGCAGGTACGAGAAATGCTGGACTCTCAACCAGTTGCTAGTTTAACACTGTTCGCAGAGATAAAACCAGAAAAGGCACAGCCAAGCTCTTAAACTCTGAAGGTGGGACCTTTGACCCTTCCCCCACCCTCTTGCTCCTTAAGGCCGAGCTCTGAGCTAAGCCATCCACCACAGGGCCAGGGGCAGGAGAAAAAAAAGTCACTATCTGGTCTCTGTGTGCCACACCCACAGGCAGGGCACCAAAAAGGGAGCGGGCCCAGCCTTGGTCTGGGGACCGCATTCTGCCCCTGCACTCGCAGCCGAGAGCTAGGAGCAAGCAGCGGGACCGGACTGAGGGTGTCCTGAGGCTGCAAGAGGCTTGCAGGTGACAAAAATACCTGTGAAGACTCCGCTGTTGGGGAGAGGTGGTGGAGAAGAGCCCGTAGTCTCCCTGGGGAAGCCTCAGACCTGCTCTTGATTCCTCATGCTACAGGTGAAGTTCTGCTGGGTTCTCAAGGTGCTAGAAGACAGAGGCCCTCTTCCCCTCCCAAATATAAGAGCCCTTACTGATCCACAATGAACTGACTGCCTGAGCCTGGTGGGCCCCAGCAAGGACACACATGTAGCCTAAGGAGCAGGACCTTTCTCATCCGAAAAAAAGTACTGTGTCCCGTTTGTATCTACAGAAACTGAGATCCTGGAAGAGGGTATCTAACCTAGTTGGATTTCTGTCTTGTGGCAAGTCTTCCTGTGAGAGGATTTCCCCAAGACAAAGCTCTAGGGACCAGATGCCAGCACCTTTACCAAAGAAGTCCTGAGGGAATCAGCTAAAACTTGGCCTACCAGCCCTTCTACATAACTGGCCCCTCCAAAGGCAGCTGTCAGGCAAGCAGCCCGCACTCTGGACACTGCTCTGGAAACCCTGAGGTTGTTTTCTGGAAGGGGAGTTCTGGCTCAACACCCTCAGAGAGTGCCAACGGGTGGGGGGGCACCCCGGGTCTTTACAGCTCCCTGTTTTCCCCTTCCCAACTCATGCTCAGTGGGGCAGAGGTGAAAATGCCCGCAAAGCACTTGTGTATACCGGGGGCAGGGCCCTGTTATCGGCCCACACCCAGGGATCCCTGAAAGAGCTGAGCTAATGGCAGGACAGGGACAAACAGGGAACTGTCTCCCTCTCTGCCACAGCCTCAAGGCCAGCGCTGCTCAGGGCTCTCTACTCTGGCCTGGCCTGGCTGTTCCTGACAAGGAGGGACATGGCATCGGGAGAGAGGGGCTGGAACAGGCCCCATGGGGAATGGGACATGAACCATTCTGCAACGTTTTTTCAGTCTAAGAATATTTTGTTGAGTGTCACAGAGACCTACTTGGAGTCATAGAGCAACACATCTGTGTAACTTGGGTTGTACAAGAACTTTCTTCATCTTTCTATATAACAAAGGACCCTGGTCAGGCCAAGGGTCAGGGCAAACCTCTCTGTTCTTCCCTCTTCTACGCTTTTCCCAGGCAGTTCCTCTTGCTATCCTATGACTGTGCTCAGCATATATCCTGTAGAGCTGAGGCCTAGTCCCATGTTCCCAATGCCTCCCAGGTAGGGGACTTGATTTTGCTGTGGCTGGAAGGGCTGGGACAAGCACCGAGCAAATGACTGAAACGGAAAAGCTCTTTCAGGGAAAGCTGACTCTGCCAAGGTCTATTCATTTCAAAGCCTACAGCACGTGGTCTCAGGGCTCCCTCCCCAACACCCATATTCAAAAGCCTACAGAACTGGCCACTCCTGCAGCCCAATTCTCCTAGATTCTTTTCCCAGCCCAATCTGCCTCTCAAGCCACCAGAGAAACGGCCTGGAAAACCTGAGCCTGAAAGAGCTAGTGAGCCTGCTCTCCAGAAGCTCCCACTTTATTAAGGGTGGAGAGAATCTGGGGTCCTGGGTCAGGAGGACAAGGGAACCTCTTACCCCAGACACAGGTGTAGATCTTGCAGGTAGGGATCATGGCAATCCCATAGAGGGCTCCCAAGTGTAGCAGAGACATAAGGATGATGTTTCTCCAAACATACACAATCTTGGGCCTCGGGCCCTCCACATCCTTGTAGCTTGGGTCATAGATGTCATCTTTTAATTCAGGGCGAATATCTTCTTCCAAGTATAGTGGATTCTTCTCCAGTTTGCTTCCTCCATTCTGCAGGAGCCGGGAGGGAGGCACTGGGATGGTGGTGGTGGTTGTGTAGGAGCTAGAGATCTGGAAGGGACAGGAAGCGGGGAGAGTCAGGAGAGAGCAGGGGCCACTTCACTCTGTTCAGGCTGGGGGAAGGGGGGAGTTCAGGCAGAGACCCTGACCCAATACCCGGGTTAACTGAGGGCATGGGTACCCGCCATGGGAGAGAGGAAGTCCCCAGGAGCTGTGCAGATAGACTGGCGAGGACGGGTGAAACCTCAAGCTGAAGGGGCAACAGGAAGAAGTAGAACACTCACACCCCTACGTACACACAAAAGAAATCCCACACGCACACATACAGAAAGGTAGGCACGACCGGTATTTCCCTAAAAGCTTAAGAAATAGAAGTTGGGGGACCAAGTCCCCAAATTACAATTCTTATTCCCAACAAATTAAAGGCAGTACAACTCGCAAAAAATGGCTATGTCGTCCGCGGAGATCTCCACTCTCCCCTCCCCTATCGAGTTGCCCAGAAGCCCAACAAGCGCCGGCAAACCCGCGGCGGTCTGGGGGCCATTGCTGGGAAGCTCACCTCCTCTTGCAGCAAGTGGGCGGGCATCTGGACTCTCAGATGCTGGGATCACTTTCCCTGGGCTGAGAATGCGGAGTTCAGAACAGCCCGGACAGGGTAGACTTCGGTTCCCGAGCCCGTTTTTGCGCCGCGATCCGCCGCGCTGCTCTGGGAAGCCGCCTTTGCGCGGTGCGCGCTGGATGGGTGTCTGGACCCGACCCGCTGTACGTGGAACTCCCCAGGCTGAGGATTTAAAGGCTAGAGCTGGCAGCAGGTCACCACGTCCCCTATTTTCTCTGACCCCTTTTATTCGCTGCCAACAAGGGGCAAAGTGCGCAGAGTTGGCCCGGGGTGGGAGACCCGCATGGGCGGGAGAGGGGAGGAGACAGAGGGCCAAGGCGTGCTGCAAGCAGGAGACGCGAAAACAGGATGCTGCAGACACACCGCGGCTTTGCCGCGGCAGCCCCTGCCCCTGCCCCTGCCTCTGCCCCTGGGGAAATGCTAATGATTATGCAGACTCTGCCGCGTCATTGGCCGAAGGGAATTTGGTGCCACCACGTCCTGCCGTTGCCATTGGCTCGGCGCAATCTGCTGTTCCCTCTGCCGCGAGCTCTCGCTCCCCTCCCCTCCCTTTCCCCAGCTCGGCTTCTCTTCCACCGGCCGCTGGACCTCTGCCCGGCACCTCGCGGCCTTGGAGGCGCTTGGGAGCGTTCTCTCTGGAAGAGGGAGAGGTCCCGATCCGGGAGTGGGGGGTGGGTACCAGCCCGGAGCTTGGCCCCGGGGCACTTCGCGGGTGGATGGGGATTGGGGAAGTTTCACTGCAAACAGTAGGGAAGCCGCGGGGGCGACCACGGCGCACAGCTCTATCCTGTCTCCTGAGACGCGTGGGAAGGGGGGACATGCCTCTCAACCTGCGGTCAGAAGCAAAGGCGCCCGGTAAAGCCCCGCCTCTGTCCCTAGAGAGCGCGAGCGCGGGGGGTGGGGTACTTGGTCCGCGGCGCAACAATGGCTCTGCCCCGCCCACCAGCCACGCGACGCCAACTAGACCAGCTGAATTCCCGCGGCTGCGGGCGGGCGGGCGGCAGCGCACACACACGAAGATACACAGATGTGTGGACCTGCACGCGCGCTCGGACTTCAGCTGCTAGGCATGCCCAGCAGGGGGTGTCGTTCTCCGCCGGCCCCAGTGCGTGATCCCCTCGCGATGCCCGCGCCTGCGGAACGTGAGCGGGATGTTTTGGAGACTCCTGAGATTGTCAGGTTGGGATTTTGGAATCCCTTCCATGGAAAAAGGCAGGAAGCACTTGCTTTCATCTGGAAGCAAGCGAAAGGCTTTGTATGTGGAACAAGAATAGCTAACAGGTATTAAATTAATACTGTAAGTCATTTGCAAGAATCACTTCATTTAATCCTTACTGTGACCCCAGGAAGTGGGTAGTCCATTTTAACTTAGAAAAATAGGGTTAAGTGAACTACGTACGGAGATGTTAAATAACTCTCCTATGGTCACAGCAGCTGGAGTGGTGGAGTTCAGGATGGAGCTGGGAGTAGAGCTCAGAAGGTGATGCTAGAGCCCAAACTCTTATTCTCTGCCCAGAACCCTGGGTCCCTGCGATGCTCTCACTTCACTGACCTGACCCTCCTGGGCCTGTGGGATCCTTGCCACCAGAGGAGGCTGGGAACTATGCATTCTCCTAGCCTCCTTCCACCCCATACCTCCCCAAATACTATTCCAGGACTCTTCCTCTGGGAAGAGGAGAAAATAGTTCTATGCTGACTGTTGACTTCTCAGGAATGGAGACACCTGCGATTTCCTGGGAGGAGGACTAAGGAGCGCAATTGTTGACCACAGGTCTCAGGGTCAGGCCAACTCTGGCCGGTCACCAGACGCCTCCATTCCAGTCCTGGCTCCCTGTCCAGTGCAAACATTTTGAATGAGACTGGATGTTTCAGATGTGGACAGCTCGTCTCACGGCTCAGTATGCTGGGTATGTGGGAGAGAAGTCTGTGCGCCGTGTTATGCTCTCGTGCTCTCTGCAATATCTCTATCAACAGCGTTATTCAAGGGAGAAAATTCAGGGTTTTTTTAGGGGTGTACCCTTAATGGTAGATGAAAATGGCTCTACTGTTGAGACCAGCTTCCTAGCTTAATTGCCTAAGTACATTTGACTCCTGTTTCCTCCAGAGCGTGGACTTCTTCAGGGACAATCTTCCCTGGAAACTGCACTCCTCACATAGACTCTGGTGGATATTACTGCTGGCCATACTGAATGCTGGCATTATTACTTAGGCCAGGTGCTAGATCCCCTCCGGCCCCAGTGCGTGATCCCCTCGCTATGCCCGCGCCTGTGGAACGTGAACAGGATGTTTTGGAGACTCCTGAGATTGTCAGGTTGGGATTTTGGAATCCCTTCCATGGAAAAAGGCATTTTCTGCCACAGAAAGGGGATGCCTACCAAGACAAAAATGTAGAACTGGGGTCTTGTATTTCTCTCTGAAGACAAGACGCTGCCCTAGAGGGGAACCTTTGGGAGTCTAGGGAAGGTCTGATTAGAGAGAGAGTTTCAGGGAGAGGTGGTCAGAGCCCATCTCATTGTGGATGTCTGTAGTAGAGAGGTGACCTGGTTCTCTAGCCTAGGCTTCCTCCCTGGCGTTCACCCAGGGCAGGCCACAGGACTCTGAGTGTGTCACAGCCAACTTCTTGGAAATGCTCAGAAGCTTGCATATGGCTGCATGGCAGGAGTAATATAGGAAAAGCATGAGCCTTGGAATAAAGAAGCATTAGTGGCAAATTAAAAGTTATAAATAAGCATGTGATCAATATTAGTATACAATAGCATTTATGTATTAAGGTGATAGATATTTAAGTGTATAAGAGGGAAGTACAAAGTCTGCTTGGGAGATGGAGACTGAAGCTGTAAACCTGCTTCTCTGAATAGGGCTGCAAGGTGCCATAGCACTTTTAAAATATCATTCTGATTCTTCAACTCAGGTGAACAAGAACAGACTCCTGTGACCGCTTAGGTAATTAAGGTGTCAATAGTGAGAAGTCACAGATACGGTCTCCCTGTTCTGTGAATCCTCAAGTGTTCCTGCTTTTGGTTCTTACAGGCAAGAAATTGTTCATATTCAGGACAGGGTCGAATCTATGCTTGGAAAAGTTCTCTCATTTACCCCCATTTCTCTGGGTGTCTTGGTACCCTGAGCTTGGAGTCATGGGTCCTTTTATCCAACACAGCCAGGTAACAGAAGGACCCAGAGGGTATTTCAATGCAATAGTTTGCCAGAATTGTAATTGTCCCTCAGCCACACCCTTAGGAAATTGTCACTACTTTGGACATGAACATGATGAGAACATAATTTAAATTTGAATGATTCAGCATTTTAGTCTATTTCAGCCACCACTCTAGTCTCCTTTATTAGCATGAAACCCTCAAAGGTGCTTACATTGGAAAGAGAAAGAAAAACTACCTCAAATTCATTGTCTGAGAATATTTTTGTTGTTTTTCCCTGACTGGGAACTTGTTATCTTTTGAACAAAAGAAACTTCCATTCCTCCATTCCTGAGGCCCTGGTCACACTCCATTCCTGAGGCCCTGGTCACACTGTGGTGCTCAAGCGACAATAGTCAAACCAACACACTCACTTGGATTCTAAGCTTGTTCTTGGTTAAAGGGCCCTAGTGCAGCAAAAGAAACAAATTGTCCCAACAGTTATGACAGCAAAAAGTTACCAGCCTTTATATGTAAAGGGCTCATACAGACTGATAAACTTAAAATGAGTAAGTTTACTCTGTGACCAGTAGTGAATTAAAAACCTTAATACATTATTTAATATTCACAACAGTTTTGCAAAACAAGTATTAACCCCATTTTACCAATAAGGAAATTAAAGTTCACAGAACAAAGTAAACTGCCCAAGGATAGTGAAATTCAAAATGATAAAGGAGCTCAGGGACTGAAGATGCACTTCAAAACAGAAAACATACAGATGGCAAAGAAACACTTGAAAAATGTTAAACTTTACTAATTATTCAATTAAAAAAATAATGCTATGTAATCCATCACTTCCAAAGACTTGACAATATTCAGTATGAGGGTGAACAAGAAGAGACAAGCATCTTCTGAAATTCCTGGTAGAAGGATAAATTGATTCACATATTCACCACAGTATTATTTATAATATTAAAGATAATGTTATGAAACAATATTACAAAAACTAAACTGTGATGCAGCTTTACACAGCCCGCACCAATAAAACTATTGTTAAGGAAGCATTTCTAATGGCATGGGAAAATGTTCCTGTGTGATCTCAACTATGTAAAACTACAATGTAGCACGCAGGTAAAAAAGTATTAGGCTGAGATCCAGGTTCTGAAATTCACTGAGACACCTGCTAACCTTGAAAGATAAGAAGTAAAAACTCATTATTTACAGAAGACATATTGTGTATATGGAATTCCTATGGAGTCCACCTAAAAAATAAATAAAATTGTAAGTGAAGTTAGAAAGGTCAATGATACAAAGTTAATATAAAAATTATTCCTTTCTATATACTAATAAAGAACAATTGGATAACAAGGTTTAAAATATACTCTGAAATGGCATCAGAAATATCACATACAATGGAATAAACCTAACAAATGTTTGCAGGATCTCTACACCGGAAATCACAAAACATTGTAGAGAGTAATTTAAAAATCATTGTAAAAATGGAGATATACTCTATTCACTGATAGGAAGACACACTGCTAATGTATAGACTGATTCCTATAAAAATCCAACAGGTGCCTCTGAGGAAACAGACAAGTTGTTTCTAAAATTTAAGTGGAAATATGAAGGGCCTAGAATGAACGAATCAATCTTCAAAATGAAACAAAGTTGAAGAAATTAAACCATTTTCTTTCAGGTCTTACTATAAAGCTAGAGTAGTCAAGACTGTGTGTTGTTAGCAAAAGTAGAGACAAATAGATCAATGGAACAAATTAGAAATTTCAGAAATACACCTACATATACATGGTTAACTGATTTTTTACAAATTTCCCAGACCAATACAGTGTGGAGAGACAAAGTCCTCTACTAATATTGCTGGAATAATGGGATGTCCATATAGAATAAATGAACCTCAATCTCTAGCTTACTCTATACACAAAAATTAATTTGAGAGGGATCAGAGAGCTAAGCTAACTCACAACTATAAAGCTTCTATGTGAAACCACAGGAAAATATCTTTCCGTCCTTGAGGTAGGCAAAGATTCTTTGGACAGAACACAAAAAGCAATAATCAAAGAAAAAAATGGATAAATTAGCCTTTATGACAATAAAAATGTTCTGTTATCAAAAAGAACTATTAGGAAAAAAGACAAGCCAGAGAATGGGAATATATATCAGCACATAAAAAGATAAACAGCCTATAAAAAATTGACAAAATATTTGAAGAGACATTTCACAAAGAAGATATAAAAATGACCAACGCACATGAAATATTGCTCAACATCACTAGTCTCAGATATGACACCCACAGTGTAGACAACAAAAGAAAAAAATTGGTCATTCAGACTTAATCAAAACTTAAGATTTTTGTTCTTCAGAGGATATTACCCACAAAGTGAAAAGACAATGCATAGAGTAGGAGAAATGTTTGTATATCATTATCTTTTAGGAGACTTATATCTAAAACATACAAAGAACTCTTATGACTGAATAATAAAAAGATATAACCCAATTAAAAAATAGACAGTTCTCCAAAGAAGATCACAAATGGCCTATCAGCACAGGAAATATGCTTGACATCATTCGCCATCAGGGAAATGCAAGTCAAAACCAAAATGAGATACGTCATACCCACGAGGATGGCTATATTAAAAAAGATAGATAATATTAAGTGCTGGTGAGGATATGGAGAAATTGGAACCCTCATTTGCTGCCACTGGGAATGTAAAATGGTACAGCCACGTTTTGAAAACTGTTTGGCAGCTCCTCAAAGGTTAACCATTACCATCTGATACAAAAGTTCCACTGATAGGTATATGCCCAAGAGAATCGAAAACATGTCTACACAAAAACTTAGATACAACTATTCATAGCAGCATTGTTCATAATAGCCCCAAAGTGGAAACAACCCAAATGCCTGTCAACTGACTAATGGATAATGATGTATTTTTGCAAAGAATATGATTTGGCAATTAAGAGGAATGAAGTCTTGGTACATGCCCCAACGTAAAGGAACCTTGAAAATATAATGCTAAGTCAGAGAAACCACTGACAAAGGACTACGTCTTGTGTGATCCCGTTTATATGAATGGTCAGAATAGGAAAATCTGTAGAAATAGAAGTAGG